CTGCCTTCCATAGTGGTTGCACCATTTTACACTCCCACCAACAGTGAATAAGGGTTCCAGTTTCTCCACAACCTCGCCAGCATTTGTTGTTTGCTCCTCTGTTGAATTTTGCTATTGTTACTGGGGTGAGATGATATCTCATAGGATTCTCAAACTTCTTCTGTAGATGGGATGGTGAAAATGCTACTATCAAGCCATCAAGAGTATGGTTTAAATATTTCATCTATGAGGGCTGTGTGAAAGTTATTTTTTTAGTTTTGATTATTTGAATAACTGAAAAGGTTTTATTTTTTCTTTTAAATTTTAATATAGGACACAAATCCAATTTTCCTTTTTAATAAAGAAATGATCTTATGCGAACGTCCACCAGCTATTCCTAAAACTACCTTTTCAACAGAAAATGACATGGAAATTAAAGTTGAGGAGTCTCTTATGATGCCTGCAGTTTTTCACACTGTAGCTTCAAGGACGCAACTTGCAGTGGTAAGATATAGTTACTATAGATAGAAACAGTAAAAGGTAAATAGATGAAATGAGAAAGTGGATGGATCATTGCTTTTGATTTGCCATATGGGTATATGAGAGATTCAGTTGTAGGAAATTTAAAAAACAAAAATTCTTTCAAAATGTTTCTCACTTCTTCTTAAAGGCTTCCGTCTAAAGATGACTAGTTTTTTGTGTGGGTAAAATAAAAACCTGATATTATATGCCAAAAATGACACACCATATTAGTAATGAGAATAGTGATAGAATATGGTTATTGTTAATTGCTGTCAATTTCTGTCTAGAATGTTTGTACTCACCGCAGCACCATGAAACTGGTAAGAACAGTTATTGAGATAGAAGAATTGTAAATCTTGGAATTGATCTAGAATTAAAAGTGGTAAACAATTCCAGCTATATGTGGAATTTCAGGGATGACAAGCAAAAGAAAAAAAAAATCACCTCAAGTGTCAAAGTACAGACCATAGCATATTTGACAACTGTACAGTAAGGATCCACATGTATTCAAACCCCAAAAATGTGCCTGTAGTCTTCACATGCTTTTGTTTTTAATACCCACTGGCCTCAGGGCTACGATGTCAGTTAAAGCAAGGAGTCCATACAGTACTTACTCCTACCACACCTTTGGGTTTGATAATTCACTGAAATTTCACATAGAAAATAGCATATTTACAACTGCAGATTTATAATTGTAAAAGATGCAAATGAAGAGATAGACTAGGCAGGGTCTGGGAAGATTCCCAACATAAAACTTCTGTATTACAAGAGAAGAAATTCTGAAAAACCCAGAAGCTTTTTTTCAGTCACTTGGAAGAAATATATTCTGCCTCCTTAGGCTGGTTGGTACTGGCCTGCTCTAGGTGAGTCTTAAGGATCTCTGGAATACAATTAAACGTATTTGGAGTGGTGATAATTCTTTGTATTATTATATTGCCCTTCAAGATATTCTTGTTATTTTTTAAATAGTCATAGTTGTTAATGTTTTACTATTTGTAAATCTTTCTGGAGGAAGTGCAACCAAGGTGCTCCTAAAAGGCAGAGATGGTAAACCTCATTTCACATTCAGTCTAAGAAAGGTGGAAGCTCAGTGAAAGAGAAGACTCAAGATAGAATGACAGTGACTGTAATAGGGCTTAAGCATAACAGTGAGGACGGTGCAGGATAGGACAGGTTTCAGATGTGTTCTTCATCGGGTTTCTGTAAGTTGTAAATTGACTTGATGGCACTTAACATTTGTTGTGCCTTGGTGGTCATTTGCTAACTTTTAAAATCTCAGGCACTACACAGTGCACTAGGAAGTAGAAGCACAAACATGACATCAGGCCAGTTAACTGGGTTGTCCTGTGGAACTATGACTGTTCAACTCCAAATTAGTGTACTGATTCCATGAGGTGTTTTTGTTGTACATGACCAGCAACAGCAGCTACTCTGTCTAGTTTTCCAATTTGGTCCTTTACAACTGTCCAGCAACTACATTTTTGGTTATACAATCCACACCATATAAATTCAGTACATCAAAAGTGATAAAAAACCTTTACTTTGCCTCTCCTTTCACTTCTTGTAACCAGTAATAAGCTTTGATCTCTATACATTTGTTTTTTCATTTTATATGAGATCCTACGATATTTGTCCTTTCGTGATTGACTTCACTCAGGATAATGCTCCATCCAGTCTTTCTCTTACTGGCTGAGTATTCCAGTTGTATGTAGTTGCCAGGTTTTCCTTTAACCGTTTATTGTTGATGGTCATTTTGTTAGGTTATATCCACCTTTGGTCTTTTGTGCTTAGTGCTGTGATAAACATTAGTGTAGAAGGATTTTTTTCTACTTACTTTCAAGTTTGTGGGATATATTCCTTGGAGTGGGAATGCAGGGCCATATTTTAGTTCTTTTTAAGTTATTGAGGACCTGCATTACTATTTTCTAGAGTCTACATTTTCTATTTTCACGAATTTCTATGTTGTGCATACTATTTTGCATTCCATCAAAGATTTTCTCATCTTAAATGATTTTATTTTCCTGTTTGTTTGATTTTCATTTTCATCATCCTAAATCCTCATTCTTCCTCCTTTGTTTCCAACTAACTTTTGCCTTCCAATCACCAAGTATTAATAATACATCTTGCTTGCATCTTCAATTGTATTTTATCAATTTCAGCACCTTTGGCTCTAGTGGTTGGATCTTTTTGAATCCTAGTTGTAGTAATAAGTCTTCCAAGTGTGCATATGGATAATATTCTATCTTTTTAGCTTAATTTTTTAAAAAAAAAATTTAGCTTCTGCATCCTTGTGGTTTTTGGTTTTTGGTTTTTTTTGTTACAGTTTGAATGGAAGGTTACAGAGCATATTGGCTTTGTACTCAATAATACATACAGGTTTTAGTCTTGTGGCATTAATTACAAGCCTCACATTGTAGTAGCAGTGTTTCTGGGGTGTTGACTTACCAGATGCTATTGATTAATCTTGTAGTCCTATGTATTGTTGGACTGAAAGTTGAGTCACTGGATTATTGCCGATCTACGCTTTAAAAGCAACTAAGGGCTGTTGTCTCATGTACCAGTTCTTTCCGACCTATAAGCCTTATCTTTTTTGTTGTTGTTTTTTGTTTTGTTTTGGTTTTGCTTTTTGTTTTTATTTTTTCCAGTTTTCTTCCATATGTTTCTCTCCCCCTGTCAGGAACCACTTGTGCTTCCTTTCAGAATTGTCAGCAGTGAGCCCTGGCAGCATCATCTGGTCTCAGGATAACAGAGATTGCTGTTTACATGGTCTGATGTTGTTGCCTTCGAGTTGCCTGCAACCCATAGTGACCCTGTGTACAGCAGCTCTGAACCCTTCCTTGTCCTGAGCCAGTCTCACTAATTCCAACACACTGACTTCCTATTGCCCCAGTTACTGTATCAATACTTCTCATCCAGTCTTCCTTTCCTGCACTGTCCCTCAACCCTTCTGAGTAATATATTGTTCTCAAAGGACTGGTCCCTCCTGGCCACATGCCTAATGTATGTGAGGTGGAGCTAAAAAAAATCCTAGCCTCCAAGGACAAACTTGGTTTCACCTTCTCCAAGACAGACCTGTTTGTTTTCTTGGCAGTCCATGGTATGTTCAAGACTCTCTTTCTCCAGCACCACAACTTGAAGGCATCGATTATTCTTCAGCCATGCTTAGTCATTGTCCAGCTCTTTGAACCGTAACAAGTAACTGCAAAGACCAAGGCCTGGATTAGGCACACTTTAGTCTCTAGACAGACATCGTTGCTTTTCAGCACTCTGGAGAGGGCCCTGACAGCAGATTTCCCCCAGTACAATTTGTCTTTTGATTTCCTGACTGCTGGTTTTAAAAGAGTGTCTATTGTGTATATTCAAGTTGGTGCAATAGCTTTGAAAGCCTGTCCTCTCCCAACCCCATTGAGGGACTACTCTTGTCTAACTTCAGGAAGCTCTCCTGTATTCCTTCTTGCCTCTGCTAGGTGCATTATCTTTCACTTTGTGGATTATTTCTGCTCTTTACCTTAAATTTTGAGAAGCTGACAGTGTTTACATTTTGAGTTTATCTATAACAAGAAATTTATAAATGTTTAAGTAGGTAAAACAGTTTATTTACATCCTTTATAGAAAATTTCATTTTGAAGAGTAGGAAGTGGGTATCAGAATTATTTCAAACTCTAATCTTGATCTTTGGATGCTGGGGTGATGCTTTTATAGACTATGCCAGGCATCTCAAAAGGAATGAAAAGAAGAGCTAAATGGCCAGAACTTGAAAGCAGTGAAAAATAGGCTGTTTTGGAACAGCATGTGGCTTATTTTTTTGCATTTATTTTTACTTGTCTGCTCCTCAGCCTTAATCCACATTACTGAAGCACAATATTTTGCTTAGAAGTACATGTCTGAAGCCCTGGGCACTGTACTGGTCTGGGCCTTTGTAAATTTAAACTTGTGCCTGAGTTGGTGGTAGGAATGTGAGAACGGGAAGCAAAGATTGAAATTCTGATTTTTGCAACCATCCAAATTAGCAATTTTGTGTTTGAATTTTTTAAAGTGGTATGCTTTGTGATTTGAAACACAATTCTCATTTTAATAAAAGGCTACTGTGTAATAAATGTGTTCACCAATTGACAAAAAAAGAGTGTTGATTGTGGATCTGAGCAAGCTGTAATTGTTAACAACCTCAGTCTCTTCTCCATCTCTCATGGTGCTGTCAGTTGGCCCAGTGGTGAGATTTTTTTTGTCGTCTTAATGTTGAGCTTCAATCCATATTGAAGACTAAGGTCCTTGACATTCTGCAGCAAGCACTTCAGGTCTTCTTCAGCAAGCAAGGTTGTGTCATCTGCATATTATAGGTTGTTGTTGAATCATCCTCCAATCTTGATGCCACATTCCTCATCATAAAGCCCTGCTTCCCGAATGATCTGTTTTGTACACATATTGAAAAGGTATGAAGACAGGATGCATCCGTGATGCACTCCTTTCCTGATTTTGAACCATGCAGTGTTTCCCTGCTCTGTTCTGAGGACTACTCCTGGTCCAAGTATAGATTTAACATAAACACAATCAAGTGCTCTGGAATTTCCATCTTGAAATGCAGTATTGTGAGTCACAGGAAAATATTCGTACACATATAAGAAATACCTGTTAATACCACTATCATTCAAATTTATGTGCCAACAACCAGAGCCAAAAAGGAGGAAATAGATGATTTCTATCAACTGTTGCGGTCAGAAATTGATCAAATATGTAAATAAGATGCATTAATAATAATACGTGAATGGAATGCAAAAATTAGGAACTAGGAAGAAGGATCAGTAGTTGGAAAATATACACTTGGTGACAGAAATGAGGCTGGGGTAGAATAATAGAATTCTGTACAATCAATTATTTATTCATAACAAATGCCTTTCATAAGAAACTTAAATGCAGGCTATACAAAGGATTTCACCTGATGGGATGCATAGGAAATGATTATATCTGTGGAAGGAGTTGTTGGAGAAGTTCAATATCAGCAGTGAAAACTAAGCCAGGAGCTGATTGTGGAACAGACCATCAACTGCTCATATGCAAGTTCGAATTAAAACTGAAGAAGATTAAATCATATCCATAGAAATCAAAATTTGATCTTAAGTCTATCCCCTCGGAATTTAAAAAACATCTCAGGAATAGATTTGAGGCCTTGAACACATAGTTAAAAAGTTGATTATTTTACATTGGTAACATTGATAGCTTTTCTTCTTAGAACTGATTTTGACTATGTCTATAGTGATATCTAAGCTGACTTTCAGTTCAGTTTGTGATAGCTTGAAAAAGCAAAGTAATCTTTTTTCCTAAAGTTAGTCTTTAAGTACATTCCTTCAAAGATTTACCTCCCTTTTCTCAAAATTAGTTCTGTATTTTTAATCCTAATTTGCTTTATGCCACAGTACTTCAGAAAACCTTCACTTTATTCTTTATTTTGCCTTCTTTTATTCATTCATTCGTTCGTTCGTTCATTCATTTTTGCACATTTTCCTCCCTCCATTTCCTTCTCCTTCCCCTAGTCCACTCTGCAGTGTATGAGTTGTTCTAGATTATTGTCATACATCCAGTGCCTAATCAGATATTGCTTTTAGACAGTTCTTCCTCTCATTTGTTCCATTGTGGTATTCATTATGTCTTTTTTAGTTTAATGTGTTGACTTTAGATAAATGTTCTTTGTCCCTCCAAAAATCATAAGGAAATTGTGCTTTTGACCATTTCTTCAGGTATCTTGCTCTCAGGTTGCCTCAGGCGTATGAGTATGTGTCAGAGGGGCACGATACTCCGTAGCATTTTCAGTGGCTTGTTATTCAGAATATGGTTATTAGCCAAGCCTTTATCCTAAGATACCTCTTTGTAGAGTCACACATCCAACCTCTAAGTGAGCAACTGAGAGTTAGCACCACCAAGGAATGAGTGAACAAATGTTCAACTAAAAGGTATCTTTAATGTATGTACAAACAAGCCACTTCCTCACTTACTCTTCTTTTCCCCCCCCCCCTTCCCAAATACAGGAGATGTATGAGATCGCCAGGAAACTTTGCTCCTTTTGTGAAGGTCTTGTTCATGATGAACATCTTCAGCACCAGGGCTGGGCAGCTATCATGGCCAATTTGGAAGACTGTTCAAATTCATATCAAAAGCTTCTTTTCAAGTTTGAAAGTATTTATTCAAATTACCTGCAATCCATAGAAGACATCAAGTTAAAACTTACTCAGTATGTTTGCCATTAAAAAGGATATTTGTTATGCTATGAGGTGGATTGATTCAGTGACTGGGATAATTGGGATGGGAGTGTCAGAGACAGTGCGATTGGCACAGGACAGAGCGGAGTTTAGGGCTGTTGTACATAGGGTCGCTACGGCTCATAACAACAACAACAACAACATTGCTACTTACTAATTTTAGTCACTTTTTTCTCATAAGCTGATTATAATTTTATTGATTTTTATCATGGTGGGTTATTGAACTTAAAATTTGAAAAATTAACAATTTTTTAATATCTGCCTACCTTTATATATAGGACTCAAAGCATTTATCAAGTCATCATAAAACTAAGACTCTTTTTGTCTTTATTTTACTGTCAACTTGCCAATAAAGAAAAGACAGAATTATTATCATGTGTAGAAATAGTAGGTAAATAATAGAGAATTGAAATTTTTTCTAAGTATTACCATCTTGATATGGATTAGGGAATACAGAAGAGAGAGATTTTCTTGCTATTTCTAGTTCTTAGTACATTTTTCCAATGATTATTTGGGGAGGAGAGGGATGAATCCAAAGGATATAGACACATGGATTACACAGTAAAAATAGAACAATGATTCAGCATGACTATAACTATTCAAACTAAACTTGATAGATTCCTAGGATTTTTTGTTGTTCTGGGTAGGTTTTATGGCAGTTTTAGGGGGAGGAGTATTGGAAAGACGTTCTTATTTTTTTCTTTTTCTTTATTTAAGTCAATGTTAATAACTGGAATTCTCTTTGTCTTGGCATGAATTTTTAGATAAACTGAAGGCTTAATTTTGTAAATATGTTGCAAATACTGGAAAGGACAGGAGGACTGATCAAATTAGCCACTAAGTTTAGAAATATGTTTAAAATTTATGTAATAATCTTTTCAAAGTTACTATTTTTCAGTGAACTGTATTAGATATGTTAATGTAGAGGTAGTCATTTTATATGATTCTACAGAAATCATATCTTCACAATTTCCTCTTGCTTTTGATAACTCAGAGTGAGGTATAAGCAAGAGTTTTTTAGACTTTAAAATTGTTCATCTTATGTTTCTCATAAAAATATTTTAATGACTTCTCTATGAGGAAAATGTTACAATTTATGTAGCAGCTATGGTGAATCTTTTTCTTGACATTTATATTTTTGGGTTTTTAATAAAAGCCAAATGTCCAAATGCCTATCATAAGCTAGTTAACTATATAATGGACATTTAACTGTGTTACTAATTTCTTTCTGTCCATTTGATAAACTAGGCTTATTTTAGAGACTACTCCATAGACCATTTTATATGTTTATAATGTATAATGATAAGAAAGCAATGAGAGCTGTGTTTGTAATAATACAATGTGCTTTTTTTTAAGCATGCTAATTCTTAAGTAGTCTAATAGATTTATTTTTTAATTTTAAGATCATAGGCATGATTTGTGGTGTTGTTTTTTTGTTTTGTATTTTAAGTTTAGGAACAACGGCTTCAGTAATGGCCAAGATTCCACTATTGGAGTGCCTGACCAGACATAGTTACAGGGAATGTTTGGGAAGACTGGATTCTTTACCCGAACATGAAGGCTCAGAAAAAACAGAAATCAAAAGATCCACTGAACTGGTGCTCTCTTCTGATATGTCTCAAACAACTAACAAATCATTATTAACCTCATTTCACAAGTCAATGGAACATGTAGCACCAGATAATGCAGAAGCTGAAAGTGGCAAAGAGATTAGGGAATCTTGTCATAGTACTGTCCAACATGATGAATCTTCAGTAGATCCAAAAGACAGCGATCTGCATGTTTTCAATGTGTCCTTATTAGATTGGATAAATGTTCAAGATAGACCCAATGATGTGGAATCTTTGGTCAGGAAGTGCTTTGAATCTATGAGCAGAGTAAGTAGTAGTATTTTTCTATTTCTGTCATATTTTAACTTAAAAAATTACTATTTTTAGAATGAGAACTGAGTGTAGAGCCGTGGGCTTTTTGGGATGGCTGGGCCTGCCCTGAGACAGTGCTGGGACAGAGGAAACCCTGCCCACCACCCACTGGATGTTTGTGGGATAAAGTCACTTTCTTGATCTACAGGACACAAGATACCAAGGGGGAAATTGCTTCTTTACTGTTTCAACTGGACACTCATTCAGTGTTCCCACACTAAGATTTTTAAAAGGGCCAAACTGTGCTTTTTATGGTGCTCTGTTCTGTCTTCTATATTTTCATTCAGATAGTTTGAAGTATTTTCTTTTATAAATTTAGGATTCCAGAATTATCATCCATATTTCTTACTTTTGTTTTCTAGTGTCAGTGCCTGAAGTGCTCTCTTTTGAGTCCTTCATCCTAATCAGAAGTCTTAGTATTATTTTATTTATGGCGACCTAGGTTTATTCCTGTTTTCTTCTAGAAGTTACATAATTCTCCATTTTATGCTTAAATCTATGACCTCATTTTAAATCAATTTTTTTAACATTTCCAATTTTTATTCTTAAAATTATAAATCAAAATTACAAAGTAGAGATCTAGTTAAACTGTGGTGGTTCAGCAGGTTGCATTCATTCCTACATTTTTCTCAGTTTTCTCTTCTGTATACTTGCCTTTCTCTTTTCCAACTTGATGAGATTTGGCTTTAAGTTCAAGAATTTTTTTCTGATCTTTATCTAATTTCATCCTAGTAATAACCACCTGCTTGGGTGAATGCCTTGATGCACTGTTGTAACATTAGCCTTCTTACACTGCATTCTTTGGATGACATAATTTTTCCTGGACTTCCTTACCAATTTTACCACCTCTTAGGTCTGAATCCATTGCTAAAGATTACCTTTATTTTAAATCTTAAGTCACGAAGTATCAGTATCCAGCTTTGTATTGGTTATTCTTAATCTTTTGTATTTTTTATAATATATCCGAATGCATTTTTCAATACCTAGAAAAGATGTGTGGAGATTTTGAACTGGAGTTGCAGTAACTCTCCAGACTCTATATTAATATTAAATATAAAATATTCTTATCCATGAACATGAAATGTTCTTTTTAAAGAAAGCTTCAATTAGAGTATATTTACTTGGTCAAGAAAAGTATTTAAAAATGGCTTTGTGTTTACACATTTAGAAATTCAGCAGAGTTAGGATTTTATTTAAAATGAAGAGAAGGAAGAAATCTTTATGAGAATTCACAGGTTATTTTTACACTAATAATGCACATAGTTTACCCAATCCCCTTGTGAATTGGTTACTATATGCATATTTGCAATATGTACATGAACCACATTTATATGCAAAAAATACGGTACATCCACTCCATATTTATTAACACAGTCAGGTTCCAAGCATCATGTCCTTATGAAGAAATGAATGTTAGGTGAAATGAGGGGTGGTCACTTCAGATTACATAATAGAAAATTACTAAACCACTGAAAATCATGGCCTAGCCAAGTACATGTGTACTTTTGTCACAGTCTACACAGCTTGACATTCGTTATTAACTGAGGTAGTCTTGATAGTAGACTTTGTTTTACTAGTGTCATAATTGTACCTTTTCGGATAACAAAATCTTATTGTTAGGTGAGAATTTGATATATGTTGTGAAAATAAATTTTTTATGATGTCATTACTAGAGAATTAGAATATTAGTTGACAACTACTCAGAAATTATAGAATTTTAAGTCTTGGTCATATTTTACATAGCCTTTGTATAAGAAAGCAGAATGAACATAATGATTTGATTATATTAATTAATTAATTATGAAAGTAAGACTGGGTAAAATACAGTATTGTCATGAGTTAGATTTACTATTTTAAGAACAGAGTTTTAACAACTAGTGTGTGTATTTATTATTTTTTTAGAGAATATTTTTTTCAGTTGTGTGTCATTCATGTATAGTGTTTGGGTTTTTGCCCATTCCCTTCACTCACCAAATTCTTCATCCCCTTTTATTTCCCCTCTTCCCTCAGCCTGTCTAACCTCTCACTTTCCCTCTCTATATATCCATATACGTCTCACTAGTTACCCTTCTGTTTTTATAATAATGGCCTTAGACAGTTATTTGTTCTTATGTGCCTGTATTACTCACCATAATACTCTTTAGCCTCTCCGATGTTATGTAGTATTTTTTAAAATCATTGTTCCTGAGTGCTGCATGGTGCTTCATCCTGTGACTGTACCACAGTTTCTTAATCTAGAGGTTTGTGTGTTTTTTAATTTTTTTTAATCCAGTCACTTATTGATGGGCATTTGGGCATGCTCATGCTATTGTGAATAATGTGGCTGTGAACATTGGTGTACATATCTCCTTTTGTATCTCAGTAGTTCTGTTTTCCTTGGGAAATATTCTAGCACTGCTATATTCATAAAAAATATGTTTAGCTTTTTGAGGACATGCCAAACTGCCTTTCAGAGTGGTTGTACCATTTTACATTCCCACCAACGGTGTATGAGAGGTCAACATTTCCACGTCCTTTCCAACATTTATTACTTGCTGTTCTGTTAGACTTTGCCACTGCTACTTACTTTACTGCAAATTTTATTCATATTCCCTATCATTTAGCTTGATCCAAGGACTATTCGACCATTTCTAGCAGAATGCCGTCAGACTATTGCCAAACTTGATCATCAGAATATGAAAGCCATTAAAGGGCTTGAAGATAGACTTTATGCCCTGGACCAGATGATTGCTAGCTGCAGCAGACTGGTGAATGAACAAAAAGAACTTGCTCAGGTGCTTATTAAAACTGTCTTTTAAGAAAACTGATTTTCTGAAAAGTATTACATGTACAATATCCATTTGGTGGGCATCGTATTTTCATTTCATCCTGGAATGTTGCCTTTATAGGAGTGTTGCTCCTATATGGTAAATAAAGCCAGTTATGTTTTTAATGATTAGAGTGAGTAGTTTCTCAGTGTGAAGCACTGAAGACTTCAGATGAAATTGGAAAGCTTTATTTTAGTAGCATGTAACCCAAGGGATTACTGTCCAAGAGACAGAGGACTTATATTGTTTTATAATATACTTCTTATACAGATATCTGTAGAATTATTATATTAGAAATTTTGCTAGATGTGCCAGGGACCCTCATTTATGTGTTTATTGAATAAGGAAGGAAAAAAGAAACAATTAAATCTGCTAATGGGTAAATAGCAATTGTTTTTGGAGATAGGATATTGTAGGTGATTTTCATAGTTCATTTTTATACTTAACCAAAACAAGAAATCAATCATTCTGTTACAGCTAAATGGAACTGAGCATGTTTAGAACATTAAATATAATTTTAAAACTTTAGCAGTTGTTCATGGTTCCACAATCTGTGTTGCATGTTTTATTTACTTCCTTGTTCTTAAGGACCCTAGCAAATATCAGGCAGAAGGAGTCTATAAACAAAGCTCGAGTTTTAATTCTAGTGTTTCTTAGTGTATGCTATATCTTTAAAAAAAAAAGACAAAACTAGGTGAGTTTCTTAGAATTTCTGGTCTACGAAAGTATCTCCACTCAGAAATAAAGGGGAAATTTTAAGTAAGAGCATAGTTCATGAGATGTGTTAATGTCTTTTTAAATATTTTTGCTCAGGGATTTTTATCTAATCAGATGAGAGCCGAAAACTTGAAAGATGCATCTGTATTGCCTGATTTGTGCCTGAGTCATGCAAATCAGTTGATGATTATGTTGCAAAATCATAGAAAACTATTGGATATTAAACAGAAGTGTACCACTGCCAAACAAGAACTAGCAAATAACCTACATGTCAGATTGAAGTAAGTGACTCTTTGTATAATAACTATTTGTAGTTGTTGTTATGTGCCATGGAGTTAGAACCAACTTCACCTGAACCTCCAGCAGTTCACAGAAGCTGCTTGGTGGGAGGATGTTGTCCATTTTTTTCCCCGTAACGCAGTTGGTGGATTCAAACTGCATTCCTTTGCGTTGGCAGCACGACTCCTTACTTACCAGGACACCAGAGTTCCCCAGATGTTTGTAGAGTTGGTGTTAATGTTTATTTTCTCCTAAATGATTGGGAAATATTCTTTATCACTAACTTGAAATACTATGCATTGAAATAGAAATTTGTAAGTTTCTAGTTACCTATTTTTGCGATTATATTTGTAATTTCTATTCCTTAGCTTAAGCAATAAGGATTCATTTTAGCAAACTTGAATATATTGAACACAGTGGATTTCATTCTGTAGGTGGTGTTGCTTTGTAATGCTTCACGCTGACCAAGATGGAGAGAAATTACAAGCCTTACTTCGCCTTGTAATTGAGCTGTTAGAAAGAGTCAAGATTGTTGAAGCTCTTAGTACAGTTCCTCAGATGTACTGCTTAGCTGTTGTTGAGGTTGTAAGGAGAAAAATGTTCATAAAACACTACAGGGAGGTAAGCAGAGCAAATTTAGTTTTAATTGCATATGAATTTAATAAAAGTGTATCTGCAACTTAATGAATTGACTGGCTTTTCTCTTCTAGTGGGCTGGTGCTTTAGTCAAAGATGGAAAGCAGTTATATGAAGCTGAAAAATCAAAAAGGGAATCTTTTGGGAAATTATTCAGTGAGTGTTCTTAAATTAATTTCCTGTTTAAAGGGAAAAAAATGCTGTTCTTGTAAATGAATGTAGTATTTTCAAGCAAAAACTATATTGTCAGTTGTCTTACAGAGATAGTCTTAATATTCTGTGTTTGAAATTATAAACTGTTATATTCTGGATTTATTGTTTATAATAGACTTAGAAATATGACATTAAAATATGAAAGTATGTATATGAAAAGTATAGCACATATTTAGAAATCTTAATTTACAGTTATTTTTAAAATGTTAAATTAAGAATAACAGCTATAGTAAAAGGTAGTATTTTGAATATTAACAAATTAAAATATGTATTAAAACTCCCTTTCTCCTATATTTTAGTCCTAGCTTAGGACTACGAATTACCATTGAATTCAAGAGAAACATTTCTATAAAGTCTACAGAGTTGAACCTATTCTTGTTCTACTTGCTTTTGAGTTGACCATGACTCACAGTGGCTCAGATTAGACTCATACCCTAGTCTATTAATCTTATTGTTGTTGAGTACCCTTGAGTTGGAACTGACTTATAGCTGGACCCTCCCGTGGCTTTTCGGAGGCAGTGCACTGGATGGGAGGAGATTGCCCATCTGTCTTCTTCCCGCAAAGCTTCTGGTGGTGGGTTTGAAACTTATGCCTTTGGCAGCCCAACTCCTTACTGCTAAGCCATTAGAGATCCCATAATATGTGTTAAATATACAGTATCTTCAGATTTTAACCTCCTCCCCCCCATGTTTTAACCAGAGGGAACTCTTTTCCCCCCTCAAAAGTTATAACTTACGTGTATTTCTTTACACAGGGAAGTCTTTCTTAAGAAATCATCTGTTTAGGGGCCTGGACTCTTGGCCTTCTTCATTTTGTGTACGTATTTCTTTTTTAACCTCGACTAAACTGTGTGTTTTTAAATCATCTCCCCTCATCCTTAGAAATACAAATATTTCTCAAACATTTTAAAGTTAGCATGATGTGTTAAGATAGTCATAATAGGGGAAGAGACCTAATACAGTGTTTTTAAAGAAATAGCTCTTTCATGTTTTGACAAATTAAGAATAGTAGGGGAAAAAAATAAAATATTTTAAAAAAGAAAAATATGGCCTTTGCTTAATTAAAAGGAGAAAAATTATCTTCTGAGTTTATTGACCAGCCATTTCTGAAGATAGTCGTCTAAAAGGGGGGATATAAAACAGAAGTTTCAACACAACTTTGTTTTAGAACCTTACGAATGGTAAGACATAACAGTTATTATTTTTTTAATGGAAATTCACTGAGAGTTTATATCTTTGAAAATAAAAATGGTGAAGAATCAGGCTAGACCAAAGTGTAACAAAAATATTATTTTATTATGTTAACAGCATCTAAAACAACCATACTGGCATAGGGTTTAAAGCATTTAGCTGCTAACTGAAAGAGTGATGGTTTGAACCTAACAGAAGAATCTGTGACAGTCTACTTTCTATAAGATTTACAGCATGTCAACTATGAAGGCAATTCTACTCTGTCCTGTCTGGTCACAGTGAGATAGGGTTAACTTGATGACAGGTATACCATGTCTTCATTGAAGTGCACTGAGCTATGTTATTCTTTGATACATATGACTCAATCATTTTAGGAATTTTAGAATATGTAAATTTATTTGGTCAGGATTGTCAATTTGTCCTTTTATACTTGTGTATAAATTATTTCATTTATGTAGACTCAGAAGCCTCGAAAGTTTGACTGTGAACTTCCAGATATTTCATTAAAAGATTTACAGTTTTTGCAATCATTTTGTCCTTCAGAAGTTCAACCATTCCTCAGGTAAATATCATAAACATCTGTTACCACCTTAACTTCATCACTGTGAAGTTGTATAAAGTTGCACAAATACAGATGTCAGGATAGTGATGTGTTTTGATTTGCTCTCAGAGGACTGCTTCAGGAATTTTGGGAGGGGAGGGGCCACAGAATATAATGAGAAAAAGAAGGTAAAGTAGAAAATTACGCTTTATACATATGTTCTTAGTTTGTGTGTTGTCTATATAGTAAGAGATTTCTGTTTTATCAGTTTACTGTTTACCTCCCTGACTGAACTAATTTGAAAGGTTTTCTAAGGAACAGAAAATGGGACATTGCAGTATAGGACTATGAGTGTCTTTCTGAAAGGGCCAGAGAGAGTCAGAATAACACAGCTCCTCACAGTCTGAGAGCAGAAAGCAGGTACCTGTAGAGCCCCACCAGCAGCAAGGTTTGCTTATTTGTTGTTGACTCACAGACTCACAATTGTGTTACTGAGAATGGAGTATATTAAGGAAGTTAGTGGTGAAGGCAAAGAATATCACCCAGTCCAAAAAAAAGTTCTAGCCTAGCAGTGCCAAGCCACAATTTCTCGATCAGTACAGGAGTCAAATCCAAATCATCCAGCAAGGTTTGCCTCAGAGCCATTGTAAATCAGCTTCTCTTGGCATCTCCTTGTATCTGGCAAAAAACAGGAAAAACCTTTAATAGTGGCCTTTATCTTAGGGCTCCTCTGCTTATGCCTTGCCACAGTTTCTCAACAATAGTGCCACAGTCTCTACCACCAGAGTCTTGCTTTCGTCAGGGTCTTGATCCAGTCTTCCTCAATTCTTCCTGCCACAAGTCTTTCTGACCTCAAGTGTTGGTGCACAGTCTGGGAAACACTCTTTCTCCTATCCTAGTCCCACACAGCTCTTGATTTGCAAGACTAGGTATCTGCAGTTAAGGTAGCTGGAGATCAGAGGGGGTTAACTGTAATGGCTAAGAAAAGCCACCTTTTATGCTAACACCACAGAGCTAATAACACTGTAGTTATTTTCAATATGCACTGAAATCTTTGGTTTTTATAACTTGATGATGTCGTTTATAGCTAAGACGTCAATTTGATTTTATTCTTTTTCAGGGTTCCTTTACTTTGTGACTTTGAACCTCTACACCAGCATGTCATGGCTCTTCATAATTTGGTAAAAGCAGCACAAAGTTTAGATGAGATGTCACAGACCATTACAGATCTTCTGAGTGAACAAAAGGCAAATGAATTTCTTTTAAGCCCTTTTTTTGTTAATGTTAAAAAGGTTGCTTTAGCTCTCTAAGTCTTACCTTCTGTTTTGCAGACCTCTGCGAGTCAGGCATCCCCCCAGTCGGCTTCATCACCAAGGATAGAAAGTGCAACAGGAATTAGTACTACTACCTCATCAAGAACTCCTCCTCCACTGACTGTTCAGGATCCCTTATGCCCTGCAGTATGTCCCTTAGAAGAATTATCTCCAGATAGCATTGATGCACATACATTTGATTTTGAAACTATCCCCCATCCAAACATAGAACAGACACTTGATCAAGGTTCCTTAGACTTGGATTCATTAGCAGAAAGTCCTGAGTCAGATTTTATGTCTGCTGTGAATGAATTTGTAATAGAAGAAAATTTATCATCTCCTAATCCTATAAGTGATCCCCAAAGCCCAGAAATGATGGTCGAGTCACTTTATTCATCAGTTATTAATGCAATAGATAGTAGACGGATGCAGGATACAAATATTTGTAGTAAAGAGGATTCAGGAGATCATGCTTCTAGCGTCCAGTTGGAAAAATGTAGAGTCGTTGCCCAAGACTCTCATGTCAGTATACAAATCATCAAGGAAAAGCTTTGCTACTTCAGAACATTTGTTCAAAAAGAAAAGTGTGACTTCTCTAACTCTTTAAAATGTACAGCATTAGAAATAAGAAACATGATAGAAAAAATAAAGTGTTCTCTAGTAATAACACTACAAGAAAAACATCAGAAAGAACTTCAGACTTTAAAAAATGAATATGAAGTTAAACTTGATGCACTAATAAAGGAGAGTGAAGAAAATGAAAAGAAAATTAAAAAATTGAAAGGAGACATAGTATGTCTCGAGGAGGTTTTGCAGAGTAAAGATAATGAGTTTGCTTTGGTTAAACATGAGAAAGAAGCTGTCATCTGCCTGCAGAATGAAAAGGATCAGAAATTGTTAGAAATGGAAAATATAATGCACACTCAAAGTTGTGAAATTAAAGAGCTGAAAGAGTCCCGAGAAACAGTGTTGGGAGACTTGAAAAAACTCCATATTGAAAATGATGAGAAGATACAACTATTAAGAGCAGAATTACAGTGTTTAGAGCAAAGTCATCTTAAGGAATTAGAGGACACACTACAAGT